TCCACCGGCGAGAATTAACTTCCACTCAAATCCCTTCTTCCCGGGAACCCCTGCTCTATGGAACAGACTCCCAAGAGGATGTTTTCACGGTGATGTAATGAATATGCATACATGTGGGTTCCCCCTCAGTAATATGATTGGCTGGTGTCAGCCATAAATACAGACTGATATGGAGATACATGGACTTCGCCTATTGGCTACGCATATTGCCTACGCCTATTGCCTACCACTACGACGAGGACCAGTCCATTATGGTTACCTGCTAGATTGTCCTACCCGGTTACAGTAGACCAAAACCACTTTGCTACTTCGAACAAAGATATCCCTTTCCGGGACATATCACACGATTACTACAATCTTAAAGTTTTCAAGTCTAGAGTGAAACGTTATCTTTTCCTACATATAAACTAACCTTTAACGTGACTTTCTACCTCGAGTGGCCCTTACTGTAAATAGAAAAATCTGTCTGACAAGATCATTTTATTGTAAGTTTTTATATTATCGTTTTTTTTCTTTTAGATGAACTGATAATGTCGAAACATGTATAAAAGAAGGATTGCTGCCCAAATGCAACATGTATACAGTGGCGTTGTGGATGTGTTTATCCTTCGCTATTTTGAGGTGTGACGTTTGTATACATTTATTTGTGTTGCTGTAACATGTCATGAAGAACCTCGTTTTTGTTGTCGGTGCCCATATTGTAACTTTCTTCCTTTTTGAGAAATTATCACTGCAAACTTTATAACATACTAGCAGTAGAGCCCGGCGTTGCCCGGGAATGTAACAGTAAGAGATAGATCAAGTATCGACCATCATAAAGACTGAAAAATAAAATTGACAAAGATTATTGTTTAAGGTTGACGGACACGCATGTCTTAATTAGTTCTTTTTTTTTTGTTTTTTACGAATTGGTCAAACCCAAACTCAAACAAAAACATTGTTTTCAATCGTTATGAGTCTACCGATTGAATAGAATTTGATTATAAACAATTGTTTTGTAAATGGAATTTTGAAAGCATTCTGAATGTAAAAATAAAGAAAAAAGTGTGCAAGACAATAAGAAACACTACCTGCCAAAAAGAAAAGTGAAGTTTTGTTGAAATCGGTTGAAAAATGTAGGAAATCCGATCCCATATATAAGCGAACACAGACACATACACACAAACAACCTGGGTTTTATAATAAGTATAACTCGATATTAGTGGTGCCCCTTTCATTCTCGCGATGCCTCTTAATCGTGTTTTCAAAATGATTTCGTGCAAAAACAATTGTGTTTTTCCAATTTTTGGCGCTGTTAGAACCACCGCAAGGTAATTTTACGTAGTCCTGTGAAGTTTTGTTGAAATCGGTTGAAAAATGTAGGAAATCCGATCTAATATATAAACGTACAGACACACACACACACACACACACACACACACACACACACACACACACACACACAGACACACACACAACCTGGGTTTTATAATAAGTATGATTTCTGTACGCAATCCACTGGCTACCAATTGTGGTGAGAGTCTCATGTAATTACTGAGAAGTTAACGATTAACTATTTATTACATTAGACTGTGTCCTCAACTGTGTACCAGAATAAAATATTTCTTATTTTCTATACATGTGTCAACCTTTCCCGTTTACGACGGAACATCTCTTAAGATTATAATTTGTTCTGGTCTCTATAGAATAATTTACATTGACAAAAAACATTGATTATGTATAGTCAGAGTGTATATTTTAACCCTGGCTATTTTATGGACTGTGGTGTGACGTTTGTATGTATTTACTTTTAGAAGAGGTTATTTTACCAGACACACATGCTTTTAAGCTTATTTTATCGGTCTCGGTAAAATAGACCTCCAAGCTATATTGCCAGTAAATATTTTTTTTGTTATTATGAAGGTCAAGTAATGTTAAAAGTAACAACAAACAGATTTCACAAAGAAGTTTATTTTCACCAACAATTATTAAGACAATTTAAAATCTTTCCCCCCCACCATCAAGTTAAAATCTGTTATTTATCATCAATTATTAAAAGAAATATAAAAGTCACTGAATATATTAAGTACTTCAGGCATAAGGATCTCTGCAAATCCAAAACTTGTTCTTGGGAATGGTTCTTTTGTCAATATACTTCCAGTGCACCCGCTGAAGACAACAGTTACAGACCGCAGAATCCATATTGTCCAAGTCCTGCATACATAGCTCACACAACCAATGCGCTGATGATCTCAAATATAATATTTAATCTTATTTTACCTGTCTCGGCAAAATAGACCTCCAAGCTATATTGCCGGTAAATATTTTTTGTTATCATGAAGGCAAGTAATGTTAAAAGTAACAACAAACAGATTTCACAAAGAAGTTTATTTTCACCATCAATTATTAAGACAATTAAAAATCTTTTTTCACTATCAATTGTTAAAGCACAAGTTAAAATCATTCATTCATCATCAATTATAAAAAAAGAAATATAGAAGTCTCTAAATATTTTAAGCACTTCAGGCATATCGGTCTTTTCAAATGCAAAAGTTGCCCTTGAGAATGGTTATCTTGCCAATATACTTCAGGTTCACCCATTGAAGACAACAGTCACATACCACAGAATCCATGTTGTTCAAGTCCTACCTACACAGCTCACACAACTACTGCATTGACGATCACAAGGTTCCATAAACATGATGGTGAAAATAAATAAACTTTTGTGTTAAATCTGTGTGTTGTTATTTTCAACATTTTATGCCGTCATAATAATAAAATTATTTACTGGTGAAATAGCCTGAGGGGTCTATTTTACGGAGACCGGTAAAATAAGCTTAGAAGAGTGGTTTTCTACTTTATCGGGAGCAAGAAAATAAATGAATCATTTATTTTTTGTTGCTGTACTCATATTCTAACTTCATGTAATTTTCTTCCTTTCTGAGAAATTGTCACCGCAAACTTCATAACATATTTCTGTAGGCAAACTACTTGATACCCCTTCACCCATTTAGCCCCGACTGTCTCACTGCTATGTTTAGCCTTTGGACCTCTTTCTTATATTTATTCTTACTCCTTCCTTTTTACCATTTTATTTATTTTATTAATCGGACTAAATTAGTCCCAAGTTTGTATTTATTTCTTTTTCGAATTTCAATCTTTTGGCTTTTAATAAACCTGCCAACGTATAGGAACTTGTCGTCAGACTTTGATTACCGTAAGGCGTTTATCCGGCTGTCTGAATTACGCATGCGCACGACGGACTTAAGCCTATTGGGAGGTATCTATCTATGTACCCCGGGTGTGATTCTGGGCTAAGTTAAACTATACCCGTGTATATTCTGGGAGGCGGCTAAGCTATATCAGGTAATACTACGGGTGTTATTCTTCTCTAAGCTAAACTATACCCTGTTAGATCCCAACGCTCTGGATTTTAAAAAGATGGCGTGTTTTCAAATTATTTAAAACCCAACCAGTGTCTGTTTTCTGTTCAAGAATTCCGAAAATTTTCATCGCTAAACAATTGATTGAAAATTCCAGAGAAGTAGATTCCGATTAAATATTATTTACTGTTGGCTGATGTAGAATTTCCTGTCGGTTTCATTGTGGCTGTCAGTTTGCAAGATGTATCCATATGGATTATCAACGGTGCCGATTAACTTAAATGTCCGCCATTCCCCACTCAATACTTTTCTGAGTCACTCAATTCACAGGAGCTTCTGCACGAAGGCATAATCACATATCAAGAAAGGATAAATTCCTGCGTATGTATAAGCGAGTCACGATAGTTTTTTTTTGTCTAGGCCAGCGACTAAATAAACATTTTAAGATGTTTGCAGCAAAAGAAATCCACTAGAAAAAAAGAATAAAAAATGAAAGAAGAACAAGAGGCGGAGGAAGAGGAGGAAAAGAATAAGAAGAGGAAGAGAAGAAGAAAAGAATAGTAGGAGAAGAAGAAGAAAAAGAAGAGGAGGAGGAGAAGATGTGGAGGAGGAGGTGAATAAGAAGAGAAGAAGAAGAAGAGAAGAAGAAGAAGAAGAAGAACAACAACAACAACAATAAGAAAGTATCATCACCAACAACAAAAAGCGATACAGTGAAGAATATCAATATAATAGAACTATTCTTTCAGTAATGTTCGCATTAATTCCTGAAACTCTGTCAATTCCATTGTAATTGATTTTCAATCTATTCCGATAGTAACATCATTAACAAAACATTTACATTATACAGGATGCGATGGGTAAATTGTCGCTATTTCATTTTTTTTTTCGTGTTCTTTGTTTTTATATTTTGTATAGTAGGATCAGTTGGGTACCCTCTTTGAGAAAAAGAGCACCATAACGCAATTAACTCCACCAGAAATTCGCGCCGGACGCTCCAATGTGAATGCATGGGTATCAATTTGAGAATAATACAGAGGATTCAGAAAGAGTTGAATGGGTCTAATGGTGACTACAATGGTGTTTGGAATGATCACTAGAGATTGCGCGACGTTACGCCTATATTCATCTTCCCATGCGGCCTCAGATTCAACATGGAGGCCTACATCAAGCGCCTTTGGATCTATAGGGTTGTCTGATGGAAGACCTTGTGTCTTGCAACAGGGTTCTATACCATGCCGCACAAGCAGGAGAACACAGTCATGGCTGTCAATTTATGCGACCACATCACCACTTACATCCGGGTACCTAACTATCCAGAGTGTAATCCATTCGATTATTATGTGTGGGACGCAGTTAAGCGAGAGACTTACAAAACACCTTGTACTCAAAGATGAACTGAAGACAAGGATTATGGTAGCATTCACCACCTTAAACAAGGACGCCGTCCAGGAGAGCTGCAGAAAATTCGGAAGTCGTCTGAAGGCCGTGGTTGGAGCCAAAGGTAATTTTATTGAATAAATTTACTCTTTAGCGTTTCAAAATATTTCTGTGAAATTTTGGAAAATATATTTGTTAAAACGAGATGCTAGTGTTATTTTCAGTTTTGCCTCATTTAGACGACAATTTATCCATCACATCCTTTAGATAGATAGATAGATAGATAGATAGATAGATAGATAGATAAATCAAACCAAAAATGGAATATTACAGCTATCACTGTTGATAAAATTAAGCGAGAGACCAACAAATCTCCTCGTAACACCAAAATTGAAGGCAAGACCCTCCAGAAGGGATGCAGATGATTCCGAAGTTGTCTGGAGGACGTGGTTGAAGCCAAATGCGATTTTATTAAATAAATTTAATCTTTAATATTTCAAGATATTTCTGTGTAATTCAGGCAAATATATCTTTTAAAATGAGATGCCAATGTTATTTTTAGTTTTGTGTCATTTAGACGACAATTTATCCATCGCACCCTGTACATACACACCCTTGTGCACATTAATTCAAACAACAAATTACCTTTCTTTCCCAATACGGCCAGTTTTAGACTCACTGGAGTGACATGATGTAATCGATTTCTATTTTTACTTCTGATTAGGTAAATTGCTATTTTTGTGCAGTAATATGAATCTGTTTTCGAGGTGTATGATGAAATTTGTTTGGCCTTGGAAAATATTGCGTCATCCTTGATTGCATCATATTTTTTATCACGATTATCAACTAATCGACAATCGAGACAATAGTGTCTTATTGTCTCGATTGTTGATTAGTTGTCCTACGGTAATTGTCTGCAATGGACTTTACTCCAAGGAAGCGTGCGAAAATTGTAACGCTGCACAAACACACTGTCGAGCTTCATCAGCGAGCAAATCAAAGTACTACAGACTGGCCTGGAAACCTTTCTGATTTAAATCCAGTCGAGTCTGTGGTCAATCTGCAAGGAACGAATTCGTGGAATGGACATACAAAGTATTAACATGTGCACTGGGTCATTCTTCATTGGAAAAATACAAAAAAAGGAAATAATAACGGAATTATTCGTTATGTTTCAATTAATTTTTACAAGGCAATATTTTCATTGATTCATGACCACTGACAATCCCTTTATTCCTGCATGCAGTGAATGTATCTATTAAATGATAACACGTTTTGAATTGCCCTTATTTGTTCTAATATTTTGCCAGTTGCTTTCAACCAGTCTATGAGATATGACACCGTCATTGATTCACGGGCACTCTACATTCTCCGGAGTGCTCACTCTTCTCTGGAGCGGTGGTTACTATATACATCCATCCAATATTCTCATTCTCCAGCTTGAGATAATGGATGCAGATTTAAGGTCGCGCATTTCTGCATTCGGTGTCAGAGAATAAACCCCATGCTACATTTCACCTGGCTAAATTTGACGGTCTGGTTTGCAATTTGAATGCACTTTGCATTCCGGATTAATACCACACAATATTTTGTTTTTGCCTGAGCTAGCAACCAAATAAATATTTTTTTAAAAATTGCCACGGATTTGGTAATTCATTTCTCGATCCTCTTTAATAAATCTGACGCAAGCACGTTTTCTCGAGCCGTGCCAGGAAAACTTCGCTTAATTTTAAAGCCGCCGACTCAACACCACCGACTCGACACCGTCGACTCAACACCGCCAACTCAACACCGCCGACTCAACACCGTCGAGAAAACTCAGCAGCAGAAAAACATAACTTTTTTTATATAATCGAATAAATGTAATTTATTAAGGATGAGAAGCTTAATTATAGAATATTTTTCTTCAAATAAGGCATTTGAAAAGACATTATGTAAAATATGAACCAGTTTTTTGCTTTAAATAATTTTCATAAAGTAAATCGAAAAATGCAAAAAAATGAAGCAGTTTTTTGTTTTTATTTATTTTTAATAAAATAAGTCATGTAATTTATTTTTTAATAAAGCAAATCGAAATTCTTATTTTTATATGTCAATTTACTTTATTAAAAAATATATTTCTTTACGATTTACTTGATTAAAAGTAATCAAAAGCAAAAAAAGCTGGTTCATATTTTACATATCATTTTGAAGCGGTTTGGAAAAAGTATAGTAAATAGATTTAGGAGAGATAACAAAGAAACATAATTTATTAAACTCTACAAAGGACAGAAAAGTGTGGAGAGTCATGATCGCCTACGTTCTGAGGGCACACGGAATATGCAAGAAGAACAAGGTTTAAGGAGAAAATTTATTAAGATCTACAAAGGAGAGGAAATTGTGGAGAGTCATGATCGCCAACGCCCTGAAGAGACACGACACATAGAGATAGAAGAAAGAGGACAGAACAAAGTTTAGGAAAAATAACAAAAAGACAAAATCTATTAAAAGCTACAAAAGATAGGAAATTGTGGAGAGCCATGATCACCTAAGACCTGAAGGGACACGGCACATAGAAGAAGAAGAATGTGCTTGAGTAAATGGATGGCGGAACAAGGTTTAGGAAAAATAACAAAAAGACAAAATTTATTAAGAGTTACAAAGGAGAGGAAATTGTGGAGAGCCATAATCGCCAACGTCCTGAGTGCACGCAGCATATAAAGAATATGTATTACAGTCCAATAAAAAAAAATGTATGTTATTTTTGTAATCCACGAATACTTATGGACGCTTTTAATATTTAAAACCTATCCCAATAATCCATCGCTAATCCGAAATTTTAAATCCTGCTGGAACGAAGACAAGATAATCGCAAGTGGAAAGCAACCACAAAGAGGTAGACATCCGAGAAGTATTAATATTGAAAGCATGAATTATTTATTTATATTTTATGACTGAGGAAGGGTTACATCGACTCTCATTCGGAAACGAGAAACAAATGGCGGGCCTTAAAGAAAAAAAAACGTAGATACAATAGTCAAACCTAGAAAAATAAGCTAATAAATAGATAATATAAATTTAGAGGTAAGAAGGAAGAAATGATTAATAAAATAAATAAAAACAATAGAGGAGAGGAAATGTAATGAACGAAAGAGGAAAAAAAAAAACCAGAACAGAAAAAAATCAAGATGGCGGATTTTACGACCAGTGATACTCAGCGTCGGTAAACAACAACATCAAAAATGTATCCATCTATTATATGTATATAATGATGAATGTAAATGCACGGAATGTTTGTAAAATACGCTTCGGAACACAGGTAAGAAAAAAAGAACGAAGAGAAATGAAAAAGTATATTTGTAGTGACTTCCATCATGCAATTTCTATATTAAAGCATAAACCAGCTCCGGAAAATAAAAATAAAATCTATTAAATATCCTGATTGACAAACAGGGGAGGACGGATAATTTATATTTCGACGATTATTAACAGCATTTTAGGGGGAAAAATACAGGAATATACTCTATATCTAGGGCCCCTCGGGGTGGCGTAGTGGTTAGCAAGCTTGTCTCGCTAGAACAGTTAGTAGTGATTTCGATCCTCACTGGCTTGTCCCATACTTTCGGCCTTGTGCTACATCTAAGCTACGCTTGGAAAATCACTATACTGTATATCCAATTAGGATCACACTCCGTCGCGGTCTTTGGAACATAAGGAGTGGTTTTCTCCTATTTCCTGTTGAGAATTGGGTTTCCGATATCTTTTAAACACTTTTCGTTCTCTTTCAATCCAAGTAGCTTCATACGTCTTAGTGGCATTATCGCTTTGGTTAGGGTGAACAAGATCTGACGTTTGATTGAGCACCAGGAATCTGCGATCATTTTCTGCTATCCGATGTAAAAAAGAACAGAACAAGTTGACATATCGAATCTTTCTCCGATTTTCTAGGAGAGAAAATATACATTTTTTGTCCTTTTTCTGTTGGATTTCTATTTTGCTGTGATAATGATATAGAAAACGAGAAATAAATTGGCCTTTGAAGAAAAAGCGTAGATACAATATTAAAACCTAAAAGAATAAGCCAATAAAGGGATAATTGAAGTGCGGTAAAAAGTGGGGAAGTGATTAATAAAATAATAAAATGAAATAAAAAAATAACAACAGAGAGGAGAGGAAATGTAATGAAAGAATGAAGAAGAAAAAAAGAACATAAAAAATAAAGATGGCGGATCATACGACCAGCTAAACTCAGCGTCGGTAAACAGCAACAACATCAAGCTAATATCTATCTACTTATATGAATATAATGATGAATGTAAAAAGAGGGGATGTTTGCAAAAGCCTTTTCGGAACACAGGTAAGATAAAAGAAAAAAGAAGAAAAAAATATATTTGTAGTGACCTCCATCATGCAATTTGTAAATTAAAGAATAAATGGAAGCCGAAAAATCATAAAAACGTCTCATATGTATCTGACTCACAAATAACGCAGGACGGATAATTTAATATTTCGATATATTATTTACAGCATCTTCAGAATGTAGAGAAAAACACAGGACTTTACTGAATATCTTATTAACATATAGTTGTATATTATGAAATTAAATTCATTGAAGAATAGAAAATTCTACATCAGTTAAAAAAGAACTGAGAAAATATTTTATTTGTAGCGATCTTCTCCATAATCCAATTTCTAAATTAAATACTAAATGAACTCTGAAAAATCAAAATAAGTTTAATAAATATCTGATAGACGAGCAAGAGGGGGTGGAAAATATAATATTTCGACGATTATTTACATCATCTTTGGGGATAAAACACAGGAATATACTAAATATCTGATTTAGCTCGTCTACCATCCAGTTCGTCCTCCTCCTTTTGAACAGGAGTAGAGGTTTTTCCATGTTCCTTTTTTAAGACTGGGTTTCCGGCATCTTTAAAAGTCTTTTCATTCTTCCAGTAGCCCCTTGCATTTATCGCTTTGCTTGGGGTGAACAGATATTTTTTTTTAATCTATATTATGAAATTAAATTGAACGAAAAAATAGAAAATTCCACTCCCGTAAATAAAGCAAGAGAGAATATATTTTATTTGTAGCGTTTTTCTCCATCATGCAATCTGCAAATTATAATGTAGGAGAAAAACACATTAATACACTAAATATCCGATTACATTCAACTATCGCCCGGTTCACACACCTCCTCGGTCTTTTGAAAAGGAATAGTGGTTTTGCTCTGTTTCCTGTTTAGGATTGGGTTTCCGGTGTTTTTATTCTCTTTCACTCCCAGTAGACATTTGTGTCTAAGTGTCATTATTGCCTTGATTGAGGTGAACTGATTTAAAAAAGAAAATGTTTTTTTATGCCATTAAATTGAATGATAAAATAAAAAAAATTAAATCAGAAGTTAAAAGAAAAAAAAAATATTTGTAGTGATATTCACCATCAAGCAATTTGCAAATTAAATAATGAAATAACTCCGAAATATTGATAGTAATGAATATTTTTTCTTGATTTGGACAGTGGCGCAAAGTTAATTTAATATTTCAACGATTATTTACATTTTCTTTTATTGTAAGGTTCACCCTGTACACGTTAGGGGGCAGTTTGTACAGATAAGGGAGGAAGGTAAGGGTTAATCCTAGACTTGAACAGTTTAAGATTGTAGTGATTCAGGAAAAATTCTCTTGGGAGCCGGTTTCACAGAACAAAAGACGTGAGAAGAAGCTGTTCGATTGGAACTTATTTCTCACCGATAGAATACGGAAGAAATGTGGCTGGATTGCTACAATGTACGTGGAATGGCGGACCCTTGCCGTGAGGGTTAGAACTAGCGGAATCAATTAATCCTCAGTATGAAAGGAAAGAAAAATAGTAAATATATATATATATATATATATATATATATATATATATATATATAGAAACATCCCACACGACTACGAAATAGAGGCCATTAAATACTGGTTAGAAATTTTCCCTCGTGAGCTTTCATGATAGAAAGCATTGAATTCATTATTTCATGTTCAATGAAACACCCTACTGGCAAATATTAGGAACAGTCATGAGGACAAAGATTGTACCAATATATGCCAACCTTGAACGAAAAATCTATGAACGAAGCTCGGAAATTTATGGGAATGACTTCAGCTACTACATAAAAGAAAAGTCTGAAAAGATATCTAGATGACTGTTTCATTCTGAGGAATAAAAATCTTGATCTACTAAGGACATTCCAAGCATCCATTAATAAGATAAATCCTAGCATCGAAATGACTATGGAGTGCAGCAACATAAAACTGCCCTTTTTTGATATATTTAACAAAAAATACACTAAATTAGAAACCGATATATATTTTAAACCTGCTGACTTCCAACAGTATCTCCTTTTTACATCTTCCCACCCGAAACACACTCGTACTTACATCCCACTCAACCTAGCCAAGCGGATATGTATAATAGTCGCAAACACAACAAGAGACCACAAACTAGATGAGATGGAAATAATACTCATCAAGAGAAAATACCCTCAAAGTTTAATCAACAATAGTATGGAAAAAGAAAAGCAAATTAACATCCACACACTCCGAGAATCAAAAGGAAAAAAAAAAGAAAAATGGTCATCCCTTATAACTTAAATTTCAACCCAAAGAACGCAGAAATCTACAAACATATGCAACTAAATCTGCCAATCCTACTAAAGGACAAAAAAAATGAAGTTTATTACAAAAAAATCCAATCATAAAAAGTGTGCGGCGACCAAAATCTTTAAAAGAGATACTGACGAATGCAAAACTACAGACTACAATTAAAGACCCACGGGTGATAAAATGCAACCGACTCTTCTGCGGAGTATACAGCTACCTATTAGAAGGCCAGGAATTTAATTTCAAATAGGGATCTAAATTCAGAATTAAAAATGGGTTTTCGTGCAGCTCAGAGAATTTAATATACATAACTCCATGCAAAGTTTGCCACGAGCATTACCTTGGCGAAATCAGCCAGTAATTCCGGCAAAGGATGACAGTTCATCGCCAACAAATTAGGGACCCCACAGCAGAAAAATACCCCTTAGCCAACATATATGCGGAGGACAAAATCTGCCGAATTTTAATATTTTCCCCATTCTAACAATGCGACTACAAAACGACTGAACAAAAGCGTATTAATAAAGAAACATTTTTATCAAGTTTAAACCAATACTCAGTTCGTTGCATAATACACAATTCATTGCTTAAACCAGAGACACGTTCCTCAAAATAGATTCTATCCTATTTTCCTAACCATAAGAGATATATAAAACCATTTAGGACCCTTGGTTTTTTCATTTGTTCAAAAAACACATGGAAATATAAACATTTACAAACTTTTTGAAAAGCTAACAGCGAAACTGGTTAAAGTAGAAATTTTTTTCTGAAAACCCACTTGTAAGTTAAACACTTTTAATTTTAATATTTCTTTGTAAAAACATATATATTATAAATATTACATATGAATAAATATTATGTGTTCTTCTCAATCTTATTTTCTCTATACAACAAGTTTTTGAACAGAATTTTCAAACAATTTCATTTTTTACCTATATATATAAAAGTGAACATTGAAGTCAAGACTCAGAGGCGACAGGCTGTTTCATGCCAGAGGCAATCGTCAGGCTTGACGAATACGGGTAGCATGAAACAGCCTGTCACCTCTTAGTCTGATCTTCAATGTTCACTTTTATATTTGTATTTACATACGCTGTATCTCTGATATTGAGCTTTTTATCCCATAAATATAGAACACATTAAATCTATATTTCTTCATATATATGTATATATATATATATATATACACACATACATACATACATACATACATATATATATATATATATATATATATATATATATATATATATATATATATATATACAGTTTAACCGGATATAAGCGACCCGGATATAAGAGAAACCCGGATATAAGAGAGATTTTCACTGGTCCCAAATTAGAGCCTGTGTTAATGTATATAAAATAGACCAAACCCGGATATCCGGTTCCGACAACTCTCTTATAACCGGGTTACATTGTATATATATATATATATATATACATATATATATATATAGTTAGGAAGCTTGTCTCGCTAAGTCAGTTACGACTAAATAGCGAGTTTGATCCTCACTGGGTATCCCATGTTTTTGGCCTTGTGCCACATCTAAGCTATGCTTAGAAAACACTTAAGTGTAATATTTTGTATTATAGATTGTGCGAGATTCCCTGGAATTTTGAAAAATATGTATCTTCTTCTATGTACTCTGGGACACTCATCGCAGTGGAGAGACCGGGGTAAATAACCATTCCTAAGTGAATTGGAGCACTTAGACATGGTGTAATGGTTAGTAAGCTGGTCTAGCTAGAACAATTATGACTGAATAGTGCGTTAGATCCTCATTGTGAGGCTCTATACTTTCGGCCTTGTGCCACATCGAAGTTGCCCTTAGAAAATAGCCAATCCTAAGTGGATTTGGGACAATTCGATGCGGTGTAACGGTAAGCGAGCTGTTCTCGGAAGATCGTTTATGACTGAACAGGGAGTTCGATACTCACTAGGTGCACCATACTTTTGGGTTTGTGCCACATCTAAGCAAGACCTATAAAATCATAGGGATCCTCGACGTGGTTTAATAGCAAGTTTGTCTCGCTAGATCAATTACGATTGAATAGTCAGTTTAATTCTCATTGGGTGACCTATATTTTTGGCCTTGTGCCACATCTAAGCTACGATTTCTAGTGGTGATTGTATTATTTGTTAAATTGAATGGGTCGTGAATAGGATTAGCTAGGAGTAGGGTAGAGATAATCAGCCATTTCCCCATTTTCCTTCGGCCTTGTGCCACATGAACTTTGTATGCTTTACATAAACATTATTAATCGGGTTGGAACCAAAAGAATATGACAGTCGGTTTTTGTATAGCACGGTTTCCAAACAGTCATGAATATAAGGCAAGATTCTAGGAAGTCAGATATTAGGTGGATGGGATTCCGAAACCTTTTCATTTATGACAGGCGACGGATAGGTGAAAGCTTTAAATCCCCCAGATCACGAAAGGTACCTGTATTTTGGTGCGTTAATCTTAAAATATCAGTGATTACCTCTAATCTCTATAATCTGTGCGAGCGGATTTGTCGTCTGATTTCAACATTTCTGATCTCTACGAACTACCAGTCTTGTCAAAGATAATCAGAGCCGAATTCTATTTGATATATCCGTGTTTCAAGAGAGATGCAAAATAAATGACATACAAGAGGTAACACCGAAATTCGGATGGTAAGTTCTTAGCGGTTATTTTCTTTTCTACAGATTAAAGCTTATTTCTTGAACACATCTATCACTCAACTATCATATCATCATCATCATTATTATTATTTTATTTCCTTTGATTTCTGATGTGTACTCATTTCTTTCCGGGTCCCGCCCAGAGACCGA